TTCCTTCAGAGGCATTCAATTTTTGAATCAATTCCAAATGTTGTAAGAACTCAACACATACTTCCAGATTCATATTATCAACTTGAAGCTGCTCTAGAATGCAATCAGTCTTAGCAAAATTAGCTTGTCTTCGATAGACATTTGTTCTGAACCCATTCTTTTCAATTCACTAATATCTCTACGCTTCTTTCAATCACTGTACATATTGCATAATAGTTTTGTCTGGTCTCTGCTTGCTTTTGAGGAAATTTAGTTCATTCTGCTATGATCAATATTTTTTTGGTTGTATATTTGCTTTTATGATGGCAGCAATTTCTTCATATGCTAAATTTTCCAACACTTTGGGATAGACCATGATGGAGAATTTTTTTTTATGGCCTCACACCCCGCTGAGACCAAAAACAAATCTATAATTTCATTTTCTCTCCCTCTAGCTTTGGTGTCTTTTAATATTTTTTTTTTTTTTTTTTTTTTACTCTTGCCACCACTGCAAAACACCTAATCTGGGTTTCTGCATATTCAGGATTGTCCATTGTGCTTAAGTAACTGATCAACAGCCCCATATTGTTATGATAGCTATCCTCCCTGACAGATGTAGTCTTGTCAAGAGAAGATAATTCTCCTGTAGGTATAATGATACATTTATACAGCATCTCATTTACATATTGCTACAGTTAGTTGACTAACATATTGCTGAATTCAGATTTTCAGACTATAGCAAACCAGGAACTTTTCACTTGTTTCTCGGAAATCAATATCCTCTACCAAGTGTTCCAAGAAATAGGACTTAAGGTAAACCTTTCAAAAGTGAAAGAGATAATCAGTTACCCCCCCAAAAAGTTTGTGCTCTGTGTGTGATCTGCTGAAGAAAAATTACCAAAAAGCAGTTAGCAAAAATCTACTTCAATGACTAGAATCTATGCTAATGTTCTCCCCTTCCCTGAATGGCGTGACCAATCAGAAAGATCTCTCGATGAACCAAAGCCATTGTTTTTCGCTTATAAAGACAGAAGATTTTCTGTGCTGGTGAGTGGAACACGCATTTTTGCTCGTGAGAAGTGAAGGTTGGACATGTGACCCCATTTTGTCATTTCTACTTTGATTGTTGGACTGTTACGACGGGCTATTGTTTGAACTGCGATTTGGCTACAAGTGTTGCGTTCGAGAAACAGAAGAAATCTATTGCAGTTGCTACTATAAGTTGACAGTCTTTTCTTTTCTACAACAGCACACAAACTATGATCTGGAATTGGAATGAAAGCAGTGACAGCATGTACCCTGAATCCATAAAAATTCAGGGTGTGTGGATTTAGTAAATACTAAAAATTTCAAATACCTTGAGTATATGGATTAGTTATAACAAATTTAGTATAAGAGTTAAGGAAATTGAACATAGAATAGACAGCACTAGAGGTAGTTTCACTCAATACCACAAATTGCTACAAAACTAAAACATTAACTTGAAAGCTCAAGTCATGTTCTTAAATAGATTGAGGCTTTCATATGGATGGTCTTCATGCTACCAAACCCGTTTAGAAATATCTAAATTGTCAGCTGTATACAACCACTTTCTAAGATCAATGATTAAAAATGATTTTGAGAGAGAGTGTGAAGCCTGTGGGTCTTGGCAAAGACCATTCTTCTTTGAACAGTGTGGACTGGCACTACAGTATCTTAAGCAAAGAACTGTACCAAATATCAGAAACACTATCACTTGAGAACTTTCAACAGTAGCAACAACTAAAATGGATAGCACATGTAACTTGAAGAGAAAATAACATAATCAAGATGTTGGCGTTCCAGACTACTACAAACTAAATGTTAGGAAGCAACCCCCCCATCAATACTAGAAAGAGCAATAACAGCTACTGGATTTGAGAAACTTATTTTCCTGAAAAATTGTTTTTAAGAGAAAGATTTTATAAATTTCAACCAAAAGCAGTACTAGCTATTCATTCAATGAATGCTTGAATGTTACCTTATTAGGAAATAGCTAAGATTACCATTTCACTAAGAGATAGACTTGCCCAAACACCTTTCAAATATTTTCAAAAGTCTTCTTTGGCAATGGCATCAAACTTACATTTGCTTTCATCCCAGTAAACAATGTCACTCTCTTCAAGTAGAGTGAATTCCATCTGACGGCTCTGCATTATCCATGGTATCCTTATCACTGGTATATCTCTTTGTATTTACACATATTATAAGATTTATGGACAGTTAAAAACTAATAGTACCTGTTTAGGAGTGCCAGGAAAAGTTCTTACATCCATTTTTCTTCATTGCTGAAAACACTTTTTGGTTTATCTGATAAAAATAATTGCAAGTAAAAATGTTTTTGAATGAAGAATTATAATGTCTGAACTTGTGATTTTTCATATTAGTAAATGGTATCATGGCCAATATGGTGGCGATAAAGAAAATTAAACAAATGTAGAAAAAAATTATTTTCAAATTCTGCCATTTTTTTTTTTTTTTTTTTTTTTTAAATCCTAAAAAGGGAAGGAATTGACTGTTGAATATTAAAGGATGTCATATAATATTAATTTGATAACACAATATGTTAAATTTGTATTTAATATTTGATAACCCCCAAATCAATCATAAATTGTTACCAAGTTTTATACTATTTAGAAACCAAAATATTAAATAGATGTTTTCTATTCTCCCCACTCTGCAGATCTATTTTATCCCTCCCCATTCTCTTAATAGAAAAACAATTTCACAGGTGGAATTTTAAGCTAGTTTCTGTAGAATACATAAAGGGATCCAACCTTATTTGAAAATCATTATCTTCATGAACTTTTAGATCATATTTATATATCTGGAAGGTTTTTTTTTTTTTTTTTTTTTTACACTAGACTTTTTTTACTTTATTTCCTTTTTGCTGTATTATTATTGCAAAAATAAGCATTGGCACAACATTGAACTTTTTTCTGTGAGAACTTACAAGTTAGTAAACACTGTCGAGGAATTTTCACATGGCAAATACGAACATAAGTAACACATTTTGGTTTTAATTTTCCATTGTCTTGAAGGGTTCAGCCTGGCATTGTAATTCCATTTTCAACTCTTAAAAGTTTTTAAATTTCCAAAAACTAACATGTTAAAATCATGTTCTGGGTCTTGACCTGAAGAAAACTTGGTTGCCATACTTGAAACTTTGAATTGTTTAATGACAAACGAAAGAAGTATTTGCTGATTTATAGTAAGTTAGTTATCTAAGTTATTAAGTAATTTTCAAGTGAAGACACAGGGACTACTTTTTTTTTTTTTACTTTTAACTTTATCCAGTGGTTTTTAATCAAGTAAAGAGGAAAGTTTATTCAATGCAAGAATTTTATTTTAATTTTCAAACTTTAAGATGAAACAAAATTAATTTCTGATAAACTGTCAACAAACCTTTATGTAAAGTTGCATCTTTTCTGTTCATGCTTCAGATAAATTTAAAATTTGTTCATATTTTTATTACTTGTTAACCATAACTGAACTCTGACCAAAAAAAAAAAATAGGTTCTCTTAAATCTTTAGAATTCAACGGACTCAAACCTGCCTGCAAATATTGGCTCACAAAGTCTCGCTATTTGTAATCAAAGTCTCACTGTTTGCGTGACTTGTCATGTTATTGTGTGATGATGTTGTCATATATAATGGTAGATTGGGTTATGGCTGGTTGGACATGGGAAGCCCATATTTAGCATGGGTTTAGGTGGGTTGAATACTAAAGGGTTAAAGAACAGGGTTTGAGGGTTCAATCCCAGAAATAAATAGTTAACTATTTTTACATTCCGTGCTAATAGGAATATATACTTGAAAAACAAGGTGGATAAAGTAAGTAAAAGTTTATTGTAAAAAACAGTACAATAAGAATAAAGGTAACAGTTATGCACAAGGTTGTCACAAGTCAATCCAGTAGTGAGTGCTACTATTGGAAGGTCGGTAATTCTCGCATAAGTGGCAAAAGGCTGAATTTAATGCAGGGCAATTTGAGCCTGTAGGCTTGGCCAAAAATTCCCCATAACCCTGCATAGATGGGTTAGGGTCTGTCTACCTCCCTGGACGCGACACTGCCCTTCAGCATAGCCTCATCCTGGTTCCTCTCTGCCTTTGTGCAGAGTGTTCGACAATAGCTAAGAGCTGATCCCAGTTAGTCTCTGTAGTCCATTGACTTACAGATACTTATAGGAAGTTACTACCTATAGTGTAGTCACTCAATGGGGTGACAGGTTATTCCATTACATCAGCTATATTAATTAATCTAGGAGTTATATAAGCTTAAAATTTGAGATGGATATTTATTTTTACCATTAACTTTTGCCCTAATGGGCCTATATAATGTTTCCAGGCTAAACAAAATAACATTTCACTGAATCAGGTAATTTATATTTAAAATTTTTAAATACAAATTTAAAATTCTTTCAGTCAACTGCCGATGTGTGAATGGTTATTACTAAAAGTCTTTCAAACTATAGTGAATTTAAAAAAAGAAAGAAAGAAACCTGAATTTCTACCAGAAAATAATATTCTCTCAACATTTAATGACTGAGTTTTCATTTAAACAAATTAAAATTTGATAAGTTATTTTTTAATTTAAATTTTTCTTTTGTGTGTGTTGAGAATTCTGCAAAGATGGTATATTTTGCAGGAAAAGTTTTTTAATTTCATAAAACTTGCCTATTATAAAAGAGCAAGGTATTTTTTTTTTAAATTCTACATTGTACTTTTAAATAATGTCAAGAGAGGTCAAGGGTTATGACATTACTTTTCAAGTTTTGATTTCTACATGGTTTAATGCACTTTGCACCTAATGTGTGGAGAGCTAGAACCCTGAAGATTGCCCTAAGATTGAAGAACATTTACTGGAAATCAAGTATCTATCATAGTAGTGTGTGGAGAACAAAATGGAGACAAAGTAGAAATTTCAAGATGGGGAAGCAGCAAAAATGTTTTTTTAACGGAACTTATTAATAAGAACTTATATTGTTCTTTTTCTTTTTCAGAAATTCTATCCCCTCATGGATTTTACCCCAGACACTGGTTGCACTGACATCTACAGTGACAGGAACATCAGTAACACTGTGGTGGCTGTGACTAGAGGAGATTGTAACTTTGCAGTGAAAGCTGCTTTCATCCTAAAAAATGGTGGAATTGGAGTTCTCAATGTATCACCAGACAATAAAACTCAGGTAACATTTGAACCTCTCCCTTCCACCCAACAACAACAACAACAAAAAACACTTTATTCTAGAGTCATGGTTCCCAAAGTCTGGTGTATTTCAATGTTTAAGGTGACAGCAATTTCAAGAATGAGTTAAATGAATTTTTACTAATGTGTCTGCATGTTTGTGTGAGTTAATATATATGGTGCATATGCAGTATGGATACATAAAAATATTTGTGTATATGTATGTGTAATTGTGTTTGTATGTATGTATGTGTGTGTAAATATTCTCTCTCTATATATATATATATATATATATATATATATATAAAACAATATTTTTATAAATATTGTAAAATTCTAAAATTAAAATATATACAGTCTTGAGTTCTTAAGAAAGTTAAGTTAATGGCCTTTTAGGCTTCCTCTGCATATATAGGAGTACCCTTTTTGAATAAGAAGAATTTTATGCCACAGGCAGTGGAGGCATGGTCAAAAAAAAAAGGTTGCGAACGACTGTTCTAGAGAATGATCATAATGTTTAAATGTAGTTAATCTATTATTGCATTTAAGATCTTATTAGAATTTCTTGCTACCAATTGTTGGCTCAGTAAATCCTGGTCACTTGTTTATAGTTATGTCCCTATTGTCAACTGTTAATGGAGCAAGTTAATTCCTACAAGTCAAATCTTTCTTCTGCCCCCCCCCCCCAAGACTAAGACTTGGTTGTGGTATACTGAGTTGGTCACTTGTCAATGGCTGATTTATCAATGTTGTAAATGATTTTTATACTATTGCATATAATGACAAAATGATCAAATCACACAATGAAATCTAATTATCCAACAGCTATTCATTTAATTAATATTTATGTCTTCCCTCGTCTTTGTAGTGGGTAACTTAAAAATTTAAGTTTATTAAATAAAAATAAAACCATTTTTAAAATGTTGAACATAACTTTATTGAATAACATTTACTCTTTGATTTTACAATCTTTTGGTTTATCTTTCTGACAATTTTATAATTCCATCCTTTCATCCTCGACAAAAAAGAAATGCTCAAAATTCTTGCAGTCTTTAAGAATTGAAATCTTTTTTTCATTAAGAGAATTCTCTAAAGACTAAAATAGTAATCAGAAGCTACGATACCCGCTGATTAACAAAGGAATAAAAATTACTTTGACAAACTAACAATTTGTGTCTAGTCTCCAAAGAACCATATGATTTATTGTTATTCCACAAGAATATTCCACAAGAATATTCCACTCTTTTCTCTTCACTAATTCTGGATGGTTTTCATTGTTTCCTTCAATTGGTTTAATTAAAGGGGCTTTGGTTGAATCCTTCAGTTACTTCCCTTGAAGGAGCTTATAGTTGAAAACTCTTTTCCAATTTGTGATCCACTCCACAACATCACTTACTTGGGATGATTACCAACATTTCGTATAGTTGGTAGGATGGGATTGTCACTTACTTTGTCCATGATGTTACATTGTTATAAAGCATCCACATTTCACAATTTGTATAAAATCTCACACCAGAAAGTACAATAAGTTTTGTCTACTTAATGTGGAATCCATTCACTATTGTTTAACATAACCAAGCTGGAGCTGATGATTCTCAACACATGATTGGATATTTTGAAAATATTTGAGTCCATTATTCTCAGATATGTGTTAATATGGTCACTATCAACCTCTGACATATTTCTTTTAATCTCTACACTATTTTTTTTTTTTATAAATAGGCTACAAAAGTGAATACAACAATAATGTTAAACTTTGAAATAAGAAAATGAAACCCAACTCTTGGATATTAATATAGCTCAGAAAAATCTTTGGATTCTTTGTTTTAAAATTACCTTATTGGCAAGTTATAATATGCATGCATGTGTGTGTGTTTTGAGATATATATATATATATATATATAATGTGTGTGTGTCAAAAATTGCATGAAGCCAAAAATGGTGTAACTAAGTAAAAAGAAAATCCATGAGTATGCATTGCATGCAAAAGAAAGACATTATAAGTTAGGGATTATGTGTGGATGATACACGCACACATAAAGTTCAGTCATTAAGGGGAAAGATGTCACCACATCTGGGGGCAAGTTTATGTTGATGTCACGCCAGTATGCTGGGATGGAAAAAGAGATAAGAGAATGAAGACAGAAAGTGTCCCATTTATTATATGCTTGTTGTTGAAACTGGCAAAGCTTATGTCATGTTAATCCCAAATTTCAATAAAATGACCTGTTTGTGGAGAAGTCTCATGGAAACTCATAGAGCAAAATGTCTTATGTACTTTCTAAACACTTCCATCTTTGGTAGGGTCATGTTGATAACTGATAGCTGAATTATTTTAAGGTTATGAACCTTAATTACCATGAATACTTTGGGTTGCTTCTACAGTATCATTGCCTTTTCTAAATTCAAAGAGCATTGTGTCATATTTTATGTGCTTCATACACATGTCCATGTGATTATAAATGTCACCCATTAAAACAAAATATATGAACACAAATTAGCATGTTATTATTTTGTCATTTTAGAATATTAAAAATATTTTTTTTATTGCTATAAGATTTTGAACATTACATATCAGATAACCTAATGTTAAATGTAATTATCTGTGAAAAGCCAAACTGATATAAACATTGTTATTCTAAGACAGGCTCTTGAAGATAATGTATGTGAGTTCCAATCTTGCTAGAGATTCCGTCTTTATTTTTGATCTATGTTGCATATTTAACACACACACACCTCTCTCTCTATATATATATATATATATATATATATATATATATATATATAGAGAGAGAGAGAGAGAACAGATGGAGTAAAATCCACAGTTCAGAGCATTTGCTTTTTTAAAAAAAATTCTTCAATACAAAGTAGAGCAAAATATTATAATATTTTTATTATAATAGATTATAATAAAAACATTTTACATTGCTCCACAAAAAAAGTACAATCATAGTATTGAAATCTGAAAGCTTTTGTGTAGCGATGTAAAATGTTTTATTATAATATAATGATAATATAGTTTTAAGGTATTTAATATATTTACTGTACTTATGGGTAAAAGTGCTACATATCTTGGATAATGTTTGCATATATAAAAGGAGACACTGAAGTCTACACCAAGTGGCAATAGTCTGTTTCATGCTTGAACACAATCTTCAATGCAGTCTGATGGCCTAAAGATTGCTTTCAAGCATGAAACGGACTATCACTTTTCTGTGTAAGAATTAATGGATTTTATTTTTTTAATATGAAATCTTTTTATTGCATGAAATGTTATTTTTACTGGATACTAGATTTTTGTGTAGATGCTTTCTTTTTCTTTTTAAACAGTGTTTATTTTTATCAACAGTCTAAACAAAGCCAGCATGATCAAACACTCAGTTACAGTGACTTGTGACTTTGGGCTAGCACAACCATCGACGGCTTCCAAATAGTTCCGTCTACCCTCACAAGGCTTGGGTCCACCCGTGTTAGGGCCTTCAGGCACTTTCCAAAGGCCACACATTGAGATTGCCTCTGCCAGACTGATAATAGTGCTCTCTCTCAGAAACTGTAACTAAGGCCTGCTCAGCAAAGTTGCAGTATAAACTACAGGTGGGCACTGCGGGTGTTGAACAAACACAAATGTGCCTGAGCAGGCATCTGCAACAGGGATTTCCTAGCTGCCCCAGTAGGCAGGTATCCTTGTATATGAGTGGCCTGCCATCCATTAATTTTATAACAGCCTATGCGCTTAAGAAAAACTTAATCAAAAAAATGTTGCCTCCAGCAGGACATGTTTTCTTGTGTGTGAATGCCAATAGATGAAATAAACATGGAGTGTCTTCTCAAATATGGATATCCACTAAAAATAATGTTTAAAATAATAAGATTTTATATATATATATATATATATATAAGGTCATCCCATAAGTTCTGTCCAAATTTTGAATAAAGAAAACAAGTGACCAAATATTACATTTAATTACAAATTCAATCAACAATGTATTTTCCCTGATTATCTATGATTTCCTTCCATCTATTAACAAGCTTACTAATTCCATTACTTTAAAATTCTTTTGGCTTTGATTCGAAGAACTCAAAATGTCAGTTTTAACCTCTTCCTGTGTTACAAAAGCTGTTTCTTCCAAATGATTCTGTAAGCTATGAAACAAATGGTAGTCTGAAGGAGCAAGATCGGGAGAATAAGGTGGATGAGGAATTTTCTCCCAATCAAGTTCTTCGATCTTTTGTGACATGATTCTTGCTGTGTGAGGTCGCGCATTGTCCGGATGAAACATCACCTCTTTTCGATTCACTAGAGCAGGTCTTTTTTCCTCAAAGCTTGGTTCAAATGCTCTAATTGCTGACAGTATATTTGAGCATTAATTGTTGCATTAGGTGGTAAGAATTCAAAGTGGATTATTCCTTGGCGATCCCACCAGATTGAAAGAAGAACCTTTTGCCCATGAAATTACTTTCTCGGCAGTGGCTGGGGTCCTTCCTCTTTACCAAGCCACTGTCTATGATGCTTAACATTTTGATAAAAGATCCAAAAAAAAAGTGAAAAATATTAAGTCTATCCAAAAGAGGTGAAACAAGTTGGTGAGAATGGAGAGAAGAGCAGACGTCAACTCAGGATTTGAGGTTGTTTTCAGACAATTCAGGAGGCACCCATTTTCCAAGTTTAGGAACTTTTCCAAGTTGTTGAAGATGACGATGAACAGTTGTATAGTTTGAACTGAGAACCACTGCCAATTCCTCAACTGATAAAGCAGGATTTTCTTCAAGGGCTGCTTCAAGAAGCTTTTCCTCCAACTCAACTGGACGTCCGGTTCAATCTTCATCTTCAAGGGTGAAATCTCCACCTCTGAATTTTGCAAACCATCTTCTGCAAGTTCTTTCATTCACACATTCCTCTCCATAAACTGAGTGAATATTTTTAGCCACTTCAGCTGCTGAGTTTCCTTTCTTGAACACATAAAGCATTATGTGCCTCAAATGATTCTTGGGTACTTCCAT